TTTGTTTTAGATAGGTGTTTTAACGGCAAAAGAGAGCTTTGCCCCTGTAAGTTGCGCGGATTTACCTGTTAAGAGGCCCCAAGAAGAAGAAGAAGAAAACGGAGTCTCTTCTGTTGCCATGGAGATGGAAGGCAATACAAGTAATGGGATTTCCTCTGTTATCCCTGGATGGTTCTCTGAGATCAGCCCAATGTGGCCTGGTTCTTTCTCTCTCTCTCTAAATCTCTCTTTTCTTCCCTCTGTATGCTTTCATTTTGGTTCTTGTATATTTTCCTTTCTGATTTTCGATGTATGTTTTGATCTTTGTATATATTTATGGTTATTTATCTATTTTATATCATGGGTCAGTTGAGTTCTGTGTTTTTTTCTTTGGCTTTGAACTGTATTTGAGTAATAAAATATCTTTCGTGGTGCTTCTTTGATTGTGTAAAATATTCGGTCTTTCTAAGGCTAATTCTCTGATTTTGAATTCATGGGTTGGTTTGTTTTCAACTTGTTTATCATCATGTTCTACTTCGTTTGTGATGCTTAAATTAGGTATGTCTTAAATGACATTTTCATTGAATGTTTGGAGATTTTGCTTCATTGACATCTCTGAGTGAATACTGCATACTGCTTGAAGTTTAACTGATTTTGGGATTAATTACACCTTAATAGATACACACTTTCCATTTTATTTGTTTGCTTGAACTTGAACTCCATCCTGCTCGCATGTTGCCACTTATGTGTATCTCTTAATTGCAAATGTGTATTATTTGTTTAATTGCAAGGTTGATGTTAATCCTTTACTGCTCATCTTGGGTTTATGGGTTCTTTCTCTAGTAGTTATTGTGAAAATTATAGAGTATATTTTTCTAAGAGAGCATGGGGTTTATATGTGTTTTCCATGGAGCCTGATTCTGTTACATATCTTAGGCTTTGTAAGTTTCCTTAAATTAAGAAAGATGCAAGGATGTAAGTAGCAAAATAATTTACTGAATGATATATTAACTTTTTATTTAGTATTTGAGTAGAAAAGTATATTTAACGTATATTTTTGTACGACATATGCAGGAGAGGCACGCTCCTTGAAGGTTGAAAAGATCTTATTTCAAGGGAAATCTGATTACCAGAATGTTATGGTCTTTCAGGTGTTTCATGGACTTGGGAAAATAAGAATATATTTGCTTTCTTTATTTCCCTATCTAACTTCTTTTGAATTTTTTATGTTTTAAACATGGCATTTTCTGCAGTCGTCAACATACGGCAAGGTTCTTGTTTTGGATGGTGTGATTCATATCAAGAAATGATCACTCACCTTCCACTTTGCTCCATTCCAAATCCTAAGAAGGTATTTCAGCTAGTATATTACTGTAATGTGAGGTATTTATCTGGTTTGAATATTATGCATTGTTTTATATCCTATTTGCATGTCCCAGTAAACATTTGAAGTGAATTCATTGCCATAAGTATAATGTAGGGGATGTATAGTATTGCTGAAATCCATTGGAAATGGCATCCTATATTGTTTTGACTTGATGTGAATTTTGTCTTTTCCTATTTGCTTTTAAGCCTACAGAAGTTTCACGTGTTCTTTTGTCTTTTAACTTTTTCCTTGAGGGGATCCCTGTCGCCTGAAGGAACTATTTTTGGGCAATGATTTATTTCTGTTCAATATTTTTGGTAGAAGTTGGACATGTATAATCTGCTTTTTCATTTACTTTGGCTTCTCTTGGGACCTTGCTTTCCCGTATTGCAGCAAGGTCATATTATTTGACAGGCACCTGTTCTCTTCTTTAATTCCCACTTAGTTGTTTCTTTCACTAGGTTTTGGTTATTGGCGGTGGTGATGGTGATGGTGGAGTTCTCAGGGAAGTTGCTCGTCATTCTTCTGTTGAGCAGATTGACATCTGTGAAATTGACAAAATGGTCGTTGATGTTAGTAATCTCTTCCTTTGCTTCCAAACATTCATGATTCACAATTGGTTGTAATTGATTGTAGTAGGCCAACTGGCTAGGAACTTCCAACCTTCCATTGGTGAAACTTGGTCTAATAACAATATGCGTTTTTGTTTGTGCTAGGTTTCTAAACAATTTTTCCCCGATGTAGCCGTTGGGTATGATGACCCCCGTGTGAAACTTCATATTGGTGATGGTATGGTGAACTTATTTTGTATACTCTATAACACTATATCAATCATTAATGTCCTTTTGTATTTCAGGAGTTGCATTTTTGAAGGCTGTTCCAGAAGGTACTTATGATGCAATTATAGTGGACTCTTCTGACCCTATAGGTAATGTTTTTTGGTGGAAATTTTGTGGTGTTTCTGAATGGTTTATAATCATTAATATTTGAGAATTGGAACATTGTTTGACATCCCAGGTCCTGCACAAGAGCTCTTTGAGAAGCCCTTCTTTGCATCTGTGGCAAAGGCTCTTCGTCCAGGTGGCGTAGTCTGTACTCAGGCAGAAAGTATTTGGCTTCATACGCACATAAACGAGGATATTGTAACGAACTGTCGCCAAATCTTCAAAGGCTCAGTTAACTATGCATGGACTACTGTTCCTACATACCCAAGGTACCAACGACATTTCCTTCATCTTTTGACGATTCTCTTTTCTTTTCTTTTTTTCATTCCGCCCCAATATTGTCTGTGTTGATTTATGTTGTTACTTGATAGTACCCTTTCAAAGTCAACGGAGGACTTTCCTATTTAAATGGGGTTCATCTTATATGCTACTGCATCATCATGTGATAACTCCGTTGTTTTTGCATAACTTTCCTTTACTGTTATACATGTTGCCTAAAGCTGCTTATAATTGACCTCTTTATTTCGTTACAGTGGGGTGATTGGTTTCATGCTTTGCTCAACTGAAGGGCCTCCTGTTGACTTCAAGCATCCGGTGAATCCTATAGACAGAGATGATATCTGCTGCAAATCAAAACGACCTCTAAAGTTTTACAACTCTGAGGTGCAACTTTGCTCCACTCTAAATCCTTTATAAATGCGTGAAAATAATTTGGTATTCATCCTTATCCTTTTGCTTGTTTCTGATTGCAGATTCATTCTGCTGGTTTTTGTTTACCATCCTTTGCCAAGAAGGTGATCAAATCAAAACCTTAGGACGGAAATTTTGGAAGTTATATCAACAGAATATTAGTTACTGTGAAGGGTTAGTTATCATCCTTTGCTTGATGACCTAATGTAGCAACGAACCTTGGATTTGCACGTTTAGGTTATGCACTTGTTTTATGTCTCACTTTGGAAGAGAATTTGTGGTAATGATTGTGGAAGGATACTCTATATGAGGTCTACTAATTCCACAATTGATTTATGGTCATTTAGATGAGACATAAATGGCTGTTTTCTTTGGAATCATTTATCATATTCACATCTTTGTGTTGTTGGCATAATATATTTCCGTGGATGTTTGAGATCTCTCTCTCTCTCTGTGTTTTTGAAGCATGTGATCAGGATTAAGTTAGCTTTGGAGGTTGTATTCTATATAATCATGCTAAACCAGCTTCTGAAAAATTGTGTCTTCTTATGTCTAGGATCTCTCCGGTATTAGTCCATAACTCATGCCGATCCTTCCAAAGTAGGTTGCTTATCCTATTTGCATAATGGTTCAAATATGTCGAGTTTTTCTTGGAGGGGTGTTGTCTAATACGACGATAGTCACATGAATTCTGACTATATTTATAATCGAGTCAGGCCAAAGTTTGATTTCCAGACATGTAAAATCAAGAGGGCATGGAATTGATTCTAACCAGCTATAAATATTTAGAGCCGAAACCCATTGACGACCACTCTCCAACCTGTTGCAGACGACTTTCGTTTACCCTACCATAGCCTTGCTCATTGAACATTTCCAGTGTTAAATCATCAACGCCCCCAAGAAAGGTTATCAACATAAGAGAGCATTCTGATGATAAGTAATATCATGGAAACCTTGAATTGGCTTTAATTTCTTTTTGTATTCAACATTCCATACTGTGAATATTTAAGTAAAAGGGTCCATGACGCTTTCCAATTAATGCTTAATTAAACTACCGAAGGACATGCATTCCTCTGAAGTTTCGTACAAATATGCATGCACAAACACATACAACTTGGACAACTACTTGGTAAAAGAATCAAACAAAAGTATATGTGCAGACAACCGAGCTTAAACGTGTACATATTACCTACAAACATGAAAATGTAAGTGACTTAGGTGACTAAGGATAGAGGTTTTAAGTTCGAGTGCGTATGTAAGAATATTTAAGTGTTCATTATTGAAAGTTTGAACAAATATTATCTTGTAATTATTTAGACTAATGAAATAGAAATCGATCGTCGATGAGACAACTGGGAGAGCTAGAATTAATATTTTACATGATTAAAATGAGTTAGAAAGAACAACGTTGTTGAGATGGCCGAGTTGGTCTAAGGCGCCAGATTAAGGTTCTGGTCCGAAAGGGCGTGGGTTCAAATCCCACTCTCAACAAAACTTTTGTTTTCCGCCTTTTGTGCGACCATAATATGGATGGCTATGGACTTGAATCGACGGCCCATGTAAGTATGAGCCATTAGCCGTTCTTCTTTACTTTTTTTGGGTACATAGTAGTAAAAAAACAAGTCGTGTAAATCAAAGGAATAATTAGGCGTTTATAACCCACCAGTCATCATCACAAAATTCATTTACTTATCTAACAACTAACGAGGCCTTACCCCTAAAAATTATAAACATTTATTTTTAAATAATTTAATATTAATTTTATAAGTAATTATTTTTTTCCAAACAAAATGAGAAAATAAATAAATAGTTTTTTTTAACTTATAAAATTGGGTGAGAATACTATGCTTAAAATGTATCCTCGAACGTATTTGAAAGACCTAAACTTCAAACAAAAATTCCATCCAAACCAACTGAATTTCCTTACCAACATCTGATCGATTGAAAACACAAAGCTTCAACCAAGCACAGAGAAATAATATAAAACATTTGATGGCAGTGTTTCTAAACCATAATTAACTGTCTTCATCTGCCCAAAAAACTAAAGGCTCTATTGTTGCATTCAATATTTGATGGCAACGACAAGCACCAACACATGCTGCGACCAAAATTCGATAGTTACTACTACAAATGCGATGCAAATTCAACATGCAACTCGAGCGCGATTTCGCCATATGCAGGGGGCGATAACTTAGTAGATCAACTGATTCAAGTGGTGCACTAAGATGGCATTAAAGTGGCCAAAGGATTGGTTCGATGATCTGCCCTTTACTTCCGAATCTCACACCTCACAACAAAACATACAAAATCCTTAACTTTCCATAGCAAAGTAACTAAGTTAACATTTAAACATAACAGATAATAATGTTAAGTAAGAAACGAGACCCCCGAGTTCCATATGCTGAACACAGCAAGCAAAGCAAGCTACCGCAGAATGGAACACTAATACTGCAGAGTGGAAGCCAAGCAAAACCACAGATTCTAACATCCTAAGTGTCTCGACAAACACAAGTAACCTAGATCATTTTTTCCTCACTGAACCTATTTAAACTAGTATTTTCATATCTGTTTGCCAATGATGTCGACATTCCAGATATGATTCAGTTAAGGTCCCTCTTTAATCTCTGCAAAGGAGTTTTAAGCAAAAAAGCATATCAGACCTCATATATACTGAAAGCATTGCAAATGAGATACCGAATAATTCAAGTAATTAAGTTTGCATGACTTACCATTTGCATAAGGTGATACCCGGCGAGAATAACGATATGGAGGCGACCTGCTGTAGCTGCGACCAGGACGAGGTGATATGCTCCGGTGCCGCGGAAATCTTCTCCCACGTGGACTATAGCTCCTGCCACAAGATAAAAAAATTTATTTGCAGTGTAAAATAGCAAGTAGAAATTTCTTAGTAGCCTGCATGCGCTTGTTCGGAGGACCTATGTAGAAGCCAAATCAAGTTTAATTAAAATAACAAGCTTTGATCAAATCCAAAATAAACAGATAAATTCTTCTTCAGTACAATAGAAAATCTTGTTGGACATGTAGACAGATGCAGTCCTAAATTGTTGTGTCAAACCCAAGAATATACTAAATTGACAGACATTATTCTAGCATGATCGATTTAGAAAAAGACTTTTGCTTAGCAATTAACATGGGAAAATACATGATATAATGTACCATCATATAGAATAGGCCCCTTTATGATACCGGTCATAGTAGAAACTACCCTGCTTCTACATCCCCAATATGAAAAAAAAAGATAAAAGAATCCTTAAACCCACCTCCGTCCATACCCATAACTTGGACTACTACGGCGACGAGGACTGGAGCTTCGACGTCGCCCGCTTCCAAAGCCTCGTGAGCGACATTCACGAGCAAAGTGACCAGGTTCACCACACTGATAACACTTCAAATCCTCACCCCCTTTACGACGCCCACCATTGCCTCCGCCACCTTTCGAGTTATGAGAAAGTTCCACACGCCAGCCATTCTTTCCTTCAAGAAGAAAAAGGAAAATAGTCAGCAGATTTTGGCAATGGTTAATAAATCAAGATCATCAGAAATGTCATTCGAATCCGAGGAGCCAAAAGAACAAAGAGTCGAGCACACAAACTTAGAATTAAACTTCTGATAATCAATCAGATAAAGTAAACCATCAAAGCAACCAGCTGCCAAAAATAAACAATAGCAACATGTTGAAATATCAAAGAAAATCATTAACCAATTAAAATGGCGAACTTTTATAAGGGCATTGGAGCTAAAACCAGCCATATTTCAAACGTGTGAACGAGATGCAACAAACAGAAGAAATGAGCACCCAGAGAATAAAGATTCACAGTAAAATTGAAACAAAAGAAGAAAAAAAAGTATACACACCATCCAGTTCACGAATTGCATCGATAGCATCCCTGCGTTCATCGAACTCGATAAAGGCATACCCTGGAGGCCTTCGAGCTACCCATACACTGAATCCATTTCATCATCAATAAATCAATCAATATGCATTATACCACAAACATCAAATTAAAAATAAATAAATAAAAGAACTTGTTTCAAACAGCAGAAAGCAAGAGTTCATCTTGTATGATATTGACGAACAAACAAAATAAACAATTAAAGTTGGCAAAGCCTGACAAATATTAACAGTTAACAAATAAACTTAACCTACAAATACTCAAGACCCAATCAAAATTCGCTTCCTTTTCTTCATTCACCAAAAAAAAATATTACCTGCGGAGAACGCCGAAAATTTTAAACTCATCTTCGAGATCCCTCTCAGTAACCCGGGGATCCAAATTCCCGACATAAACCCGAGCCATGCTCGCAAAATAACACTGCGCGCCTTTAATAACTATAACTAATTAATAAAAAAACAAAGAACTCCAAAAAAACGGTTCTGACTAGCCAATCACGCTAGTTAAAGAGAGGTCACAGAGAATTTAGGGTTTTTTGTATGAAACGATCGAAGGAACCGAAATGATTGATAGAAAAGATGACAGGAACTGATTACCTTGGGGAAATTTCTGGGGTTTGTACGGTAAAAGAAGGAGAGTGACCAAAATTCGAAGCCAGATATTAATCAATTTGGCACTAAAACCCTCCAACAGTTACCGACGCTATAAAAAATCTCAGCTAAAGGGAACAAAAAACTACTCTATTCGGGCTGTAAACATTTTAAAGGCCTCGGCCACTCAGATATTGGGCTGGGACAATGCTTATAACAAAAGGAAATATATATTTTTCAATTAATAAAAGGAAAGCTTAGCCCCTTTAATTGTCTCTAAAAATCATGTCAGACGCTAATTTGAATCATAGATCAAATGGATTTTTACGTAAAAAAGTATCCCCTTTAAGCTGCATGGTTGTATGGTTTTGAGCGACAATGTAGGTGTGCACGTCGTGCTCTCCCCTCCCTCAACCGAGAGCCCATTCTCTTCAATTCGATCCATTGCTGCCATAATTAACAAGGATTTGTTTTAATTTTATGAGAAACAAACTCGACAGCTGATCAACAATAGAATACTATATTTTTAATATAGTTCATAAACTATATATATATATTCTGTAAAATGTTTTACCATCTGATTTTTCATAAAATATTTTTCTAATTGTTGACTTCAAAGTATAAGCACTCAAAAATATTATTATTTTATTTAATATTAATTTAATATTTTAATATCATTTATAATTAAAATATTAATTATTAAAATATTTAATATACATATAATAAAATTTTAATAATACTATATTTTTAATATCATATGATATGTAATCAGATATATTATAATAATATACGATATTATAATTTTAATTTAGTAATATATAATAAATTATTAATATAATTAATATTATCTATTATTTTTATAAATATTATATTATTAAATTATTAATAACGAGTAATATTAATTTATATATTTAATATTAATATCATAATTTAATATTATGTTAATAAAATACTAATAATTAAAATTAAGGGTGTTCAAATGGTTAATTCAATCACCTGTCGAATTGAATTATCATTAACCGAATTAACCGAACTTTTTTCTTTAATAGTTAATTGAATCAATTTTTTTAAAATATTAACCGGACCAAAAACCTGGGGGAAGAGGAGGAGAAAACCTTTGATTTTGGAACAACCGAACAACTGGTGCTTATCTCTTTTAATAATTGTTTGACCGGACAATTTCTCACGGGGAGTACAGTGATTTTTCAAGCCATGAGGATAATGCTAGTCAACTTCTGGCACCCTTTTGGCGATATCTCAATTACCCAATTAAGAGATGACAGCTTTCTCTTTCGACTTTTTCATAAAGCGGGTACTAATTGGATAGTTGTGGAGGGCACTTGGCACTTCAGTTCACACCTGCTGATCTTACATCGATTGAAAGGAGGGGAAGATCTCATGCCAACAAAAAGTAAGACGCCGCAAATGGTAAAGCGGCGTTTTTCTAAAACGCCGCTACAGAAATTACTTCAATGTTTTTTTACACAAACGCTGCAATAGGTTTATATTTAGTGGCGTTTTTTAAAAACGCTGTTATAAACTATTTATTTAGTGATGTTTTTTACACAAACGCCGCAATAAGGTTTATATAGCATTGTTAGGATATGGCATTGCATGCGATGCAACTTCAAGTTTTTGTTGCCTGCACTTCCTCTCAAAAATCAATATTTGTTGTCTCGCGGTTATTTCTTTGGGCTTTCGCTTGTGGACATATGTAACCGGGTAAAGCTAAATAACTCGACAAGTTATGAAATTATTTTGTATGCTAAGTTTGCACTATATATATATATATTCTACATGAATTGAATAACCCCTCTCCCTCCCCTTTTATAACAGAATCAGCAATCTAAGAATGCAAAATTAAGCATCTGCATTAGTGGAGTCATCGGTAAGTCCCAAGTTTCAGTTTCATTTAATTCTTTTATTATCTTTTACTTTTTGTTAGGGGTATTCAAAATTCGGTTTTAACCGAATTAATCGATCGAACCGAATTAATTAGGTTAATTCGGTCGCCACTGAATCAATTCGGTCGGGAAACAGTTAATGATTTTTTTTATTCGATTAACGGTTAATTCGTTTCGAAATCAGTTAATTAATCGAATTAACCGAATTATCCTTTAAATATAAATATATAATTATATAACTCAGCCGGCCCAATGCCCCCAAACCAACTCCCAACCCATTTCAAACCCAAATAAATTTTAATTAATTAAAATAATCTGAAAACTAAATGTAAAATAACCCAAACCTAAACGGAAAAACGCCTAAACATGTCAATCTCATCTCACCAGTAATCCCGTTCTACCTCTTGAAACCTCTCAATCTGTCGATTAACCCTGTCGATTGGCTTCTCTTCTCTCTCAACATAGTTTTCTATAGTCATCTCGTTGTTGCAAGATCCAGGTTTGTTAATATTTTCCTCGTTAAACAAACTCTGGTCTGGTATTTCTATATTTCTCGGGTCTCGGCTAGATGACTGTATGTTAGCACGATTTAAATAAAAATCAGAAGTTTAGCCTCTCTTTCTTCTATTGATGGGATTAATAGTGTTTAATTGCATATAGGTGGTTGTTCCTTGCGCTTACAAATAAATAAATTATATTTCCATATGGAAATGTATTTGGAAATATGGTGGTTTGATGGTTAAATTTGACGCTAAAGGTTTCTGTTTCCCCTTATTTCGGACACGTTTTAGGTTTATTTTTCCTTTTCATGGCTATAGGTGTTAATTCGTTGATATTTATGGGAAAGTTTCGTACTGCATGTAATTCATGAACTAATTGGAGTGATTATAAGAACTAATTGGAGTGATGAATGTAACTATTAGATGGTAAAGATAATTGTTGTCATTTACAGTTCAATGTTATTTCCTACTCATGTTATATGGTAGGAAGTGATTTAGCTGTGCATTACAGCATTTAGAGGTTAACAGTGTTATATACACTTTGAACCCTTATAAAAAGCTTCATTTAACTGCAAGATTTCTTTTAAAAAGTGTGTACTTTAAGTTAGTTGGGACCAAATTTGGTTTGGTATTGTATTGTTGTAAATTCTTAGTTACTAATTGATCACAAATATGTTTGTGTATCCGAAAATGTCTGATTCCATGCCTCTGCTACATATAAGCACCGAATGAAAGCAGGTCAGTAACTGGAAAATGATGGTTTGTTGGTTACATGTATATTTTATTTGTAACTAATGAAAGCAGGTCAGTAAACTGGAAAATTATGCTTCCAGTTCTGCACTTTGTTCTGATTTATTTTGTAGAATTTCAAATTTGATGGTTTTTTAACTAAATTGATAGATACAAATATCTTATTTTAATATAATGTTTGAATCAAATTAATTAGATATTGTAAACTGGTTTTTTAATTAAAAATACTAAATTCTAAAAAATTTCGGTTAATTCGAAAATTAACCTAATTAACCGAAATTTATTCGGTTCGATTAATACTTTAATAAAAAAGTCTGGTTTGGTTAACGGTTAAAGAAAAAAAATTGGTTAATTCGGTTAAGGGTATTTCGGTTCGGTCGGCCACCGTTTTAACCGAATGAACACCCCTACTTTTTGTTGTTGTTTAATTTCATTTAATTTGTGATAAAAATTAAATGAACTTTCTATAATGCATTTTCATAAATCATTTAACAATGATGCCTTTGATACCGTTATTGATGGTACTAACCTTTGGAAGTTTAGGCTCCATTGACACAAAACATTGATGTCTTTAATATTGTTATTGTGCCTCAGGTATAAAGTTGGTTCGCATCTAGGCAGCAGGAAAGCACATAGTGGACAATCTTATTTAGCATTCGACATAAAGCACTCGCATCTCAAGAGCATGGTGGAGTCATCATTTTGTCGTTTCATGGAAGCATCTTAAGTGATTTCTTAGGTTCATACTTTGTTTATTCTAGTGAATAATGTTGAACTATGTTACATTTCAATTGGATGTTTGTAAACTTTGATTTATTCATATTTTACGTATTTTTACTTAATTCGAATCTTAATTACATTTCAAGGTTGCCATTGGATATTATTACAGGTTAAAATTGGGTAATATAAAGTAGGAAAAAACATTTTGAAATTTTGTGATTAGCGGCGTTTTATGATGAAAAACGCCACTAGTAGAGTACATAATTAGTAGCGCTTATGAGGAAAAACGTCACTACTAGAGTACATAATTAGTGGCATTTATGAGGAAATCGTCACTATTACATGATTATTAGCGGCGTTTGTGTAAAATATGTTGCTACATAACCTCACATTTGGCGGCGTTTTAAAAAACACTGCTAAATAACCTGAATTTTTGCGGTGTTTATGAATGTAAAACGCCGCTACCCGTTATGGAGATTGTATAGCTGCGTTTCTTTTGGCGTTTTTCTTGCGTCACAATTATTTTTAGCGGCTTTTTGAAACCCCGCAACAAACCTCTTTTGCTTAGATATTATTCTAAAATGAGGAAAAATACCTATAAATTATTTTATAAAGAATATGTTTTCAATAAATTAATTTATTATTTAATTTCATTACATGCATGGTAACTCTCCATGGAATTAATTAACCAACAATCATATGTAAAAATAAAAAAATAAAGGCTTAATATAAAAATAAATGATTAAATTATACTCAAAATTAATTTTTGGTACCTAAAGAATTTTTATAAAAATAGTGTATAAAGTTTTCTCCGTTATCTTTTAAGTGTCTACCATTAAAAATACGTTAAATAATACGTGAGTATAATAAAAAAAATTAAACACCTATTTTTAACGAAATTTTTTAAGTATTAAAATATTTTTTGAGTCATAATCTAAGTACTTATTTTTGTATTAATCCAAAATAAAAATAAAAAAATCGATGCGTGCAGGATACGAATTGGAACATTCTTAGCTAAAATGGGGGGGCCACGGAATGGTTTTTTGGATTGGGACGAAATGGGGCCCGCCCCTCACATCTTTCCGCCTATCCGTGGAATGCGGCGACTAGGGGCGGCTATTAGGGGTGTGCAAATCCGGTACCCGATTTTCAGGTACCGGAACTTCTAGATCGGCGATCTCTCGACCCGTGTCCTAACTCGAATGTTACGGGTATCCAATAATCGGGTACCCGATTTTTTTATTTTTTATTTTT